AGAGAAAGAAGCATACGCATGTGTTGAAGCAATACGAAAATGGAGACACTTTCTCATAAATCGAAAGTTCAAACTGGTGACAGATCAAGAAGCCGTATCATTCATGTTTGATATGAGACATGCAAGCAAAATTAAAAACGAAAAAATCATACGCTGGCGCCTTGAGTTGTCGTGTTATAATTATGACATTGTATATCGTCCAGGCCGTTCGAACTTAGCTGCAGACGCCCTTTCAAGAATATGTTCAGCAAGTTCCAAAGAAAAACTCTATACATTACATGAATCTTTATGTCACCCTGGAATTACCCGAATGTACCATTTCGTGAGAGTGCGAAATCTACCGTATTCTATAGAAGACGTTAGGAATATGACAACTTCTTGTCCAATTTGTGCCGAGTTGAAGCCAAAATTTCATAAGAATATTGGGAGCCACCTTATAAAAGCTACTTCACCATTCGAACGACTAAATATTGACTTCAAGGGACCCCTACCAAGTTGTACCAACAATAAGTATATGTTAACTGTAGTAGACGAATATTCACGCTTTCCGTTTGCTTTTCCCTGTTCAGACATGACAACAACTACTGTCATTGGATGTTTCAATCAATTGTTTTCAATATTTGGGATGCCCTCGTATATTCACTCGGATAGGGGAACATCATTCATGTCACAGGAATTAACTGATTATCTACATTCTCGAGGCATATCTACGAGTCGAACTACACCATATAACCCAGAAGGCAATGGACAAGTGGAAAGATACAACGGCATCATCTGGAAGACAATTAATTTGGTTTTGAGAACCAGGCAACTGAGACCTATGCATTGGGAATCTGTTTTACCTGATGCTCTACATTCTATCAGATCATTATTATGTACGTCAACTAACTGCACTCCACATGAACGGTTATTCAGCTATCAAAGACGTTCAACCAGTGGTACCTCTGTGCCTTCGTGGTTGAAGTCTTCTGACGTCGTTCTTCTGCGAAATCAACATCGGCGTAGTAAATATGACCCACTGGTAGAAGAGGTGGAGCTACTACATGCAAATCCAGAGTACGCCCTCATAAAACACCGAAATGGAGTAGAATCTACAGTATCTTTGAAACATCTAGCCCCAAGAGGAGACAGAAGCTCACTCCTGAACGAAAATACAGAAAACATATTCAATGAATCATCAGACCAGACTACGGAAACGACAATTACTAACCAAGCAATCACCGAAAATAATGATACTGCACCTATTGAAACAACTTCGACTAGTCACCAAGAAAATGTCGTAAATAAAGAGACAAACAATTTACCTGAAAGTAGTACAACAAATCTATTGGAAACTCATTTGATTCGTTCATCTACAAGACCTCGGAAAACACCCCTCTATCTGGAAGATTACATACAAAAATAACCCAGGGAGAATGTTATATAATTCATAAACCTCCTGTACTTCACTATCACATTGTTTTCTATATCCATCAAAATTTGTTTATAATTTGTCATATATTTGACATTAGTTAAATGAACGCTGTAGTTTTTGCGTATTAAAGCCTACAAATCGTAAAGGTTTTATTCATTACAAGCAGATAATGTTGACACGAGAATTTTCCATCGAAAATTATGGTGCTTTTTCGAAATTAAGTCCAAATAAGGTGAAAAAACGAATATTCCAGTTCAAAAAAATTACAGTGTATATGGACAATAAAGAGGTAACTTTTCACAAAATTTCTAGAAATTGTTATTTACCTATCAAGGACGAAACACTGTCTAGTCGAGTCCTGCAAATTGATGGCCCAGGCGAGACAAAAGACAGTTTTTCGCCCAGGTGCATATTACATTTTTACGTCGACCTCAAACATTTATATTCACATCACGGTCCAGGGTTGCCATTTCGATTTTTATTCCATCAGTAAATATCTTGTCAAAAATTCAGTACATTTCAATAGACCTGTTCCAAGATTTGTTTTATGCTATACGAATTCCTAGAAAGGATTATGAAATAAACCTATGACGTCAAAACATTATGTACTTTTAGTGAACAGAACATAGTGATTTTTGATTATCGATTATCGATAATCACACTGTATCGACTTTATCGGTTTATCGATATTATCGGTTCATCGATATTATCGATATTATCATTAGATCTATTTTATTGATAAACCAATAATTTTTTATGTGAATTATTATCGATATTATCGATAGTTATCGATAATAATCGATATATTGATAAATTTGCCCACCCCTAACATATAGGTACTTATTAGATTTGAGTATATATAAAACAGGAACGATCGAATAGTTGAAAAGAACAACAAAAATACAAAACAAATAAAAAAATTGAATGTAAAGAAACAATGTTATAACAGAGGTATATAAAAAATTTAATTTGATCTGAATCAGATGAAGTATTTGCGACATTCACGAAGTGGGCGACATCTAGGTTACATAATACGAACTTCAAACTGGGGGAAAACAAACTGTTGTCTATGGATAAAGTGCATAGACTACATTGCATGCATCTTGCTGTAGATGTAGTTGTCAAACTTGTCAATGACATAAAGTGTTATCACACAGTACACAAGCTAATGGCACTAATGGGATTGAGTGAGGATGGAGTTTGTTTTCCACCAGTTTTGACGTGGCTTTGACATGGAACGATGAAAACCGAGCGCCACTTGGTAACATTGATTCCCGCGAATTGTCCTTTTTTGGTTTATACATATCATTACTCATTGTATGTACATTTATAACTTATTTTGTAAAATTAATTTAAATAGAACATACCGAAATATCCTCGGAAATATGATGCAATTCATAAGTGTATGTGATTAACTAAAGATCATTAACAATATAGGTAATTTTAATAATAAATAAGTGTCGAAATATTTTTCAGTAGATTATGAGAAGTTTGAGTAGATTATGAAAGGTTTCAGTAGATCAATATGCAATTCAGATCTACTGAAAATTCAGTAGTACTGGCAACCCTGCAGCGGATGAAGAGTGTTTGCGGACGAAAAGTTGGTGTCTGCAGACGAAAAGTATTTGCTTTCGGAAATAGTCGGTTTTTCGTTCGGAAATTAGAACGGAAAATGGGATTTTTTGTTGAGGTCGACGAAAAAATAATTTTGTTATGTAATCGTATAGTACGTAATGTGTGTTGTAAGAAGCATATTACGCACGAATGGAAAAGTTACGCACGCAGCCGAGGAGCGGCGAGTGCGTAATGGGCGTGTACATCTTAGTAGAACTTTTAACTCAAACCATGTTTATAATGATCCTTTCATACATGAATAATGATTGACGACATAATTCGATCGAAAAATTAACTGGAATGTTTTATTTTTGGACATAAATAATAGTACCTTCTGAAAACGGACCGTCATCTTATGACGTAGAAACCTCATCTCGCCATAGTTAAAAGAAAATACCAAAAGCCCGACGGAGACTGAGGCAACTGATATAGTAATTCTTTCAACTGTGATCTCGTGCTAATTCACTCTTGTCAGGAATCATGTATCATTCATCTCTATCTGGAATAGTCTTGTTTCAGTATTAGGGTTTTGACGTCACATCATCGCCTCGTTTTCAGAGGTCCGAAAAATCGGGGATTTCAATAATTTTTTATAAAACGTTGGGAGCTCACAGCAAGAAACGGTTTGCGGTGGTGAGCTAGTTTGGGTGAGTTCTATCGAATTATGAAATAAAAATTTCTTGTGAATAAGCCCATTGCTTTACAACACGCATTACGTACTATAATTTACCTACTGCCAAATAGTACATCAAAAAAGTTTGGACAAACAGTCTGAATTATAATTCTTGACAGTTATGTCATCCGCTGTTGACGGCGATTACGCTATCATGACTGGTGGAATAGACGAAAACCAAAACTGTGCTTACTGTGCGTAAAGAGCTACTTACTGAGGCTGTATCTCGTGTGTTCCTTCCTACTTTCTATAGTGGCCGTAGGTAAAATATAAAACAAAAAAACCAAGAACTTGGTTATTTGAATTTTTCACATAAATTTTTGGGTTATATGAAGTGTATCTACGAGAGTTATAGATCTTTTTATTACCTACAACTTTGCTATTCAACTTTTTTCCATGGTACTCCTTGTTTTGCCAGAAATGGAGATTAACCGTTTTTCACCATTAATTTGTTTTTTCTGTTGAATAGACGATCGGTAGACCTTTCAATCAAGGTGTCACATGACCCCTATTTGTATTTGAAAAAATCGTCCATTACGACTTTACTTCAACACCGGTGACGTAACATCTCTCATATGAATATCATGAGATGAGGCTTCAGAAATTAAAACTCACGTGTTTTTGGAATTTTTTCAAATGTCGCCCATTTCTGAGATAATGAATTTATTCCATACATTTGCCATCATACTGTATATAAACTGTTGATGACTTTTGTTGTGCTATAGTTCCGAAAAATGAGTCAATAATACGGTCTCCGAGAAAGAACTGCAAGTCCTTTTATCCTCCATTCGACTTCGCGGTTACGTATATTACTGAACAACTACTAAATTCGCAGATTTTTTGAAATCAAATCACAGAATTAGACTGACAGAAATGACATCAGATATTTGATTACTTCAAAAGAATGATAAAGATGCCTACAACGCAGGTGTCCTTACTGTTAAAAACTTAAAATTTCACGTCGATAATTTTCAGATTTCAAAATAATGTAATATCTTCTCAATATTGATTCGTCCTTTCATCTGTTACTGAAAAAAAATAGTGTATTATACACGGGAAAAATATTATATTTTAGCTCACGGTTTTTTGTCTCACAACACAACCTGGACCTACTACTACTACTTTTTTCCCTTGTATAATAAATAACTATTTTTCTCCCATGTCTTCTATATTCTTTTTCTTTTTCAATGGGTTTCATTCTACTATAATGTTATTCAGCTGAAAAATTATCGACCTTGGTCCAATACGTATTTTCATTCATTTGGTTTGGTATAAAACAGTAACGTGTTGTGACTGCAGGGATGCCGATGATGCTGTACACGCAAGGGATGGATATGATTACGACGGCTACAGACTCAGAGTGGAGTTTCCCAGGGGTGGTGGGGGTGGCAGTGGTGGCGGCGGCGGCGGTGGAGGCGGATTCAGAGGCGGCCGAGGTGGTGGTGACAGAGGCAGGAGCTCCAGGGGACCACCAGCTCGTAGATCGCAATTCAGGGTTTTAGTTACAGGTAATGAGATTCTGTGGTTTTTTTCCTATGCAGGGTGATTCAAAATTCAATGTAAATATTTTGAGGACGTGTTGTCGGGATCCAAATAGGACTCATTCATCATATATACATGTGTCCTAAAATGCACACCCTCCGATCCGAGCTATATCCACTGTAATGGGTAATAATAGTTATTTTTCTGCAACCGACACAAAAATCGTCCATTTTACCACAATTACCAAAAAGAATGTACTAGACGTCATCAAGAATAAACAACATTGTTATGGTTGGTTATTTGGGTTGAGACGCATACCTGATTTGTTTCCGATTTCGGCAGATTTGGCATTTCATACCCATGCTGGAGATATAAACACACCTTATTATAGTTGATTATAGGAATTATACACATCTCAGTTGAGTATTTTTGTTTTGATCAGGGAAACCTTCAAGATTCACATACTTGCTTAATCTGTATTTTATTCCTTATTCTCGGGATGGATAACTTGTTTCTGAATAATCACGACAAGCAATAGTTTTTTGTCTCAAACAACGATATTGTTTACCTCTATTTGATTATCATAACACAGTGTAGTATGGAGAAATAAATAATCTCTATTATTATTGTTGATATGCTAACACCTTACCTTACATTTTCCACGTCTTGCTCCTATACCTGACACTAGCGCGGTATTTGCCATTAGAGCACCTGGTCCATACACAAATATGTCACTCTGAGGTTGTATTTATATTGAAACTACAATTCGTGTTAACCTGCTGTTAATGCAGGTAGAATATTCTCACCACACGGATTTTGCATTGATTTTGATTTGTTGCCTTGCATACATATGGCACGGCATTTGTGGTTACTTTACTTCACATATTTATTTGAGTTAATTGTTTCGGTTGCAAAAAAATAGCATGTTTCATTCGGATCAAAAGTGACTTTGTTTGACTCGCAAATTTTGCTTTCGCTCGGATTCGCTAAACGCCTCGCAAATGCAAAATTCGCCTGTCAAACAAAGTTTCACTATTGATCCTAATAAAACAATCTACTATTATCCTCCTTATTTATACACCAAGGTAGTAAAAATATCAGTTTCCAAGATACAAGGTGGTGAATTTTAAAAATGAAAATCGACAAGTACACCCCAAGAAAGTATTTTGAAAAATCCTTATACTGCTAATTCACTGACCGAATAACATCCACGAAGATAACAGCAAACATTTTTTATTCAAAATAATTTAAATATTCCCGTACGGCATCAAGCACTAAAAACGAAGTATGTATCTCGAAATCAGTTTACTTCAGCGGATTTTTACAAGAGTACCTTTTTTACTTGAACATGTTCAGAAAATTATTTTCTAGATGAAAAAAGTGAAAAAATACACGGAGAAAAAAGTTATGACTATTCTAAACTATAAGAAGTGCATTGGTAAGCGCCTTCTAATGGCCACACTGAAAAAGTGAAAAAGTATCCGTATTCGGGTTTTGCATACCAAAAAAACTCCCGGATACCAATTTTTGAAGTGATACGTTTGAAAATGGTCATAAATATTGAAAAAATCGATTTTTATTTTTTATCTTTACCACCCTGTATATCGGAAACGGAACAATTTCGGACTAAGGTAAGTTTCTTTAGATCAGCTTATTTTGACTTCAGGAATATGTGCTAAGATGATGTACAGTTACAAGCTGGCTCCGCAGGGTTGGTGTACCCATTTAAAAAAATAAGACATTTGTTGCAGTTGTTCTGAGCTATGCGCCACCGGGTGAACAACTAAGAACGGCTGTCGGCCATATCTCAGCAACGAATAATGATACAAGTTTGAGATAGAACAAATCTAATGTTATGCATATCATTACAGGATGTAATAGAGAAACTAAATCTCAACAGACCAACGAAAACCGCAACATGTTAGCTTTTCGCCAACGGAAGATATTTACTATCAAAGTTGGAAGATAGATATGACAGCCGTTCCTAATTGTTCACCCGGTACATATTTTTTTGTAATTTTTTCTTCAATTTGTGAGCTTACCTATAGCGAATATACTTACACCTATTTTCATTCTTTCAGTATCTTTTGTGTTTTTTCATCCCAGCCGTTTAGAAGTTATGTGAAAAAGATGAGTACGGAAGGATAATTCTTACTACCCGTTGTTCTACTACCCGTCGGAATGAAGCATTTTCCCTCGGTAAAAAGTAGTCTCATGTTCATTAGGGATAATGTCGGCATCTAATGGTGAAAGACTTTTTCAAATCGGGTCCATTAGTTTCGGAGCCTATTCAATACAAACAAACAACAAATCTTTCCTCTTTAATATATTAGTATAGATAATTGAGTTTTACCTCATTTATACAGCAACAAATTAACAGCAAAATGTTATGGCCGATATACCCGTATCGGCCAATATCGACTATGCTTATATTAGTATCGGTCGATACCTACAATAGACACCGCGTATCTTTCATGGTTCACGAAATAGTGTATGGTAACAATCCCAAGCGATAAACACGATATCGGAATCATGGGAAGGGAATGGGGCATGTCATAGATACAGGGTTGGGATATAGCATGGAACCAAGTAAATATCTTTGAAACGGAAAGGACGGAATTTATGATACTGCATTCAAGGATAATGACACAAGATGCATCTGATGACTATTTTTGTAAATTTTGATAGATCTTTATATTTTGAATTCATACATACTGGGCTTAGTGGGAATAATTCAATAGTAGTTTACTTTGAAATTGGATTAAAAACTTGGAAATTGATGAGCTGTCATCTATCATTTCCAATCTACCTGGAATATTTTTAGTTCTGCAGCTATATAGGGTGTGTAAAGTCGGCACCAACTTTTTATTTTGAATAGATACCTAAAATTTTTTTCACATGATACAATTGGCCATTTAATTCTGAGTTTAGACAACCAAATTCATGTCAACCCATCTATCACAGTACAGTTTTCGAGATATGTCGATTTTTCTAAAAATAATTGCCGCCGTAGAAACATGTTCGATGGCTCCAAATTCGTTACCTTGCATAATATCATTCTAAACACGAAGACAAATGTATTATTGATTTCACACATCACCCTTAGATACTGAATAAACACACTTGTAATATTTTTATTGAATAACTTGATGGAGGTTTGAGGTATAGGGAATGTTTAGGTGCCATGTGAAAATATCAAAATATCGGCAATTCAACGCGAAATTTAAAAATCGCGCGCGCCCATATGGTACAATATGAGACCATCAATGGGACACCAGGAGTTAGCTTGGACTTTCAGCTAACTGTTCCACAAATTTGGTGCTCTAATTATGAACGGTTCACGGTTCACTACGGAGGTAGTTGTTTTCAGAAAAATCGACATATCTCGAAAATTGTTATAGATAAGTAGAAATAAATTGTGTTGAACGAACTCAGGATATTTACAATAAGAAAATTGGTGCCGACTTTTTGCATACCCTGTTTAGCTGGAGGACTAAAAATATTTCAGGTAGACTGGAAATGATCAATAACTATAACAGCATACCAATTTTTGATCCAACTATTGGAAAACTTCTAATGTGTAAATTATTTCCCACTAAACCCAGTATGAACGAATTCAAAATATAAAGATACTTACATCAAGATTTGCAAAAAAATTACGGGTAATCCATTCAAAATAAAAAAGTTTAGTGTATTTCCGGTTGAACCGGAGTACATTATAATAAAACTATCACATATTACATCAGATGAATCTTGTGTCATTGTACAGTCGTCTTCAGAGAACATGTCGCACATGGACGGCGTCAGCTCTATTAATCACCGCTGCAATAAGAGCGCTATTGTCTCGATGGTAACGGCTTATACCGTCCAACCGCAACATGTTCACTGAAGACGAGTGTACATGACTGTAAAGTTTCATTAACATTGTCCTTTTTCTTTCAATGATATTTACTTGAAAAGGAATATTCTCAGATACAGTGTGTCCCACTTACCATACTCACCATGGGCACAGTTTAAGGAATCCATGGGTATCTTTTTAACGGTGAGAGATACGAGATCGGTTAAATGACACCAAATGTGGAGTTTGTCAAGGCCAACTATAATGTGAAAAAATATTTTGATAAAATCTATTCGTTTTTGTTTTATACGCAAAAAACAGATTTTGATCATTTTCATGTCTCCTCCGTAACTTCTTTATTTATGAAAATATTCAAATAGGAATTTCACATTCTCGTGGCAGTTTTTCAAAGTGATTTCGAAAAAAATATGAAATTTATACCAACTCTCCTAGAATTTGAGATATCAGCACCAACTTTAGTTTTTCAAATGTAGGTCATAGCTCACTATGACTTAGTTACAAATAACTTTTTTTTCTCTTACAGATGATATGTCGCAGTTATAGTTTTGTGTTGATAACAACGGAGTTATCGTCATTCATACAAAAACAAAAAATTAGTTGGAAGCCGCCATCTTGAATTTATGAATTTCAACAAAAAAATCATGATCTCCGACCTCTAAAACCCCCACTCACCAATTTTGAATGGAATCGGACTAAATTTTTCTCGAACTCACTTTGAAAAACTGCTATGAGAATGTGAAATTTCTATTTGAATATTTTCATAAATAAAGAAGTTACGGAGGAGACATGAAAATGATCAAAGTTCATATAAACATAGGTCCAGAAATGCTTCATTTTCAAGATACAGAGTGTCAAATTTTCAATGAAAAATCATTTTTTTATTAATTTCTCAAAATTTTGTTATCCAATTTCAATGAAACTTGGAGATTTTGTCAACAGTATCAAGAAGCTTCTTTTGGTGTTATCAGATTCGAAATAATGATTTCAGTGGCGTCGCAGAGAGTTACCTTTTCGATATTTATGGGAAATAAGGTACCTGCGTCATAGTTTTTTCCAAGTTCGATATTTTTATCGGATTAAAAAATTGAAAATACAACTTTCTTGTTACTTGTTGCATTTTTGTATATCACTCAGTTTATGAGGAAATGATGAAAAATCGATTTGGTTCCAAATTTTAATGTAGGTGGTGCCCTCAAACCACCCATTAAGATGAGTAGTATTCTGAAATTTCGAGACTTTTATAGTCACCAACGAGACTAAATTTTGCCATCATGAAAGCTCATACAGGGTAATCATGAAAAAGAACAATCAATACTTCCAAATTTAACGCCCTGTATCTTAAAAACGAAGCATTTCAGGACCTATGTTCATATATACTTTTCGTCTTAGAATCACCAAATTAATCGTTTCTTGAAGTTTGGCCACATACTTGGATAACACCCTGTATTATGAACATGAAAAAAATTAATACTAGACAGCTTAGACACCGAATATCATTTGTTTATCTGCAGAAACAATAAAGTTATAGGGGGCAACCACTCTTGAGAAACATTCGGTAAATTTCACAGTCTAACTGAAGCTCTTTAATAATATTCAAACAGTTCCTTGCTTTTCCTTCTATGCATAGTGCTAGTCCACTTCGTCTTTGCAGTGTCGCCACGTTTATCTACAATCAATTCGTATTCTTTGTTATGTACCTCAGAATATCCATCAAAGTACCATTTGTATGTTCAAACATTTTTTCTACTCACATAACTAAAATGGCATTTAGCGTACGAATATGTACCACGCTAAATGATCGATTAATCACGGATTGTCGATCTGTGATTTATTCGAAATATTAAACACGTTACCATGGCAACACGATTTCTTAAAAACATTACCATGGCAACGCAGTTCATTAAACACAGCTTCAGTAATTTGAGACATGTCTGGCCTGTCAATTGTATTAACTGTCAACTGTTATTTTCAAATTTTCAGAATTATTCAAACAATATTCGTTTGTATCAGAATTCTTCATTAAAGATATATGCGAAAAGTAGAGGAAAGTGAAATCAAAGAGAATGTTCTGGTATATGCATATCTCCAAGAAGTATCAAAATGAAGCATCCATCTTTGAGAACAATTAATTTATTCTGCGCCAAGCATGACAATAAACGTGAAACAAAGGTTAATAAGCAATGGACTGGACACATCTACAACCAATATCACTTTTACGTGTCTCGCTGGTTGCATGCAGTTGCATGTATTATTTTCTCAATTCCCATTCCTTTCGAATTAATTTGTAGGTTAGCAGGAATTGCAGGTATGTTAATGTAATTTTCGGAGTTCGTAGAAAAATCATAGTACGCGTTTTAAACTCTTCTAGACACTCGTTTATTAAATACTCGCTCCGCTCTGCTCCGCTCGTGCTTAAAATACTCCTTACTAAAAGGACGTTTATAACACTTGTTACATAATATACTATTAATATTTTCAGGACTACCGCCTTCAGGATCATGGCAAGATTTGAAAGATCATATGCGAGAGGCCGGCGATGTATGTTTTGCTGATTCCTTCAAAGATGGTTCTGGGGTTGTTGAATTTTTGAGATACGAAGACATGAAATATGCCATAAAAAAGTTGGATGATTCCAGATTTAGGTCTCATGAGGTATGTGAAGATGAATTTTCAAATTTCACCTTATTTTATCATAGCTCTGTGCCACTTTATTATATAGGGTATATCTTTGTGAGTATGATATATGCAATTCATATTTATGGTGAACTGAAAGTAACAAAATTCTGAAAATTTGTAAGGACAATGAAGGGAACATGGAAGATCCAACTAAAATATGTTCCTTAGTGAAGATTCCTGTATTTCCGAATGTGATGTCATCTGTATTTTACACTTTGGAATTTCTCTCATGATTTTGATTCAAATTCATATATCATTCCGTTTATCTGAAATGAACTGTTTTTGAGTTATTCCAGTTTTTCTAGAAAGTGGCAAATGCAGCTTATTGAACTTATGTCGTTTTTATGTAAATTACAATTATTTTAGTGATATGCAGTGATTGAATAGTGAATATTGAAGGTTGAATGGATCACTCACTATAATCACAACCACTGCATAATTTACAGGATGTGCAGAAGAGTGGGTCCAGAAAGTGAATGTGAAACATTCAAAATCTCAAGTTTTTCAAATGGAAACCTCATTTTTTCTTCTATGATTCAATTCTATTATAAAAATGAGCCCTAGTTACTAACTTCTCTATACTCAAAACCCATAATTTCGTAGATACCTATTCCATAAAAAGTTCTTTATTCTGCATAACTGCCTGAAATTTCAAATCTACTCTAGAAGTCCATGTTATCTTGAAGTGGAGTGAAGTAGTTAAAATATAATAAAAACTCTCCAAGTCGTCTCCACAACGTTTAATTTCAAATTCAAGAAGGGGGGGGGTTCATGTTTCGCCGTTTCGGACCTAAAAGGTATCCATCATCAGCCAGAAAGAAATTATTCTACAGAGAACAATGAAGCAGTAAGTAGGTATATCAAATTGAACAAATTGGTACTCACGTGGAGAAGAAACAGGCAAAAACATGGTTATAATTGGCATGGTAAAACGGTTATTAGAACATGTTTATAGTTTCAATTTTTTTTTTAAATTAAGTAAACAGGTATCATTATTTGAATTGGCTCCCTGTACCCCAGATATTTGCTCAACGACCCCGTACATTCGGCAGCAGCAAGCAATCACAGAATGATTGAAAAAATCCGACAGAAACATTTTTACCTGAAATTTTGTTTTATATTAGTAGGTTGTGCTAAATATCTATCAACAAATGAATTGAAGATATTGATCACTTGTTCCTTTGAAAATAAAAATCTATAATATCTTTGTTCTTATGAAAATCTAATTACATAAATTACTGAAACATCAATGAACTCTATATTATTATACCTGAGTATACCCAACACCAGCCATAATTACACTTTTGCAGATGATCGATCTGACAGTAAACAACTTCAATTCATTTGTTTATAGATATTTTGCTCAACCTTTTAGGAAAATTCAGAATTTCTGACAGTTATTATGCAGAATTACGTGGCATTTATGAAATATCTCCGAAATTATTGGTTTTGAGTAATAGCACATTTCTTCCACCACTAGCTATAGAACCTACCATTATTTACTCCTTTTGAAGGCGTAAAGTGTCAATAAAGACAGCCACCTCTGTTATAATTAACCGGAATTCACTGTGATATTCACAGGAATGGCACTCAAATCTAGTAGGTATTTATCAATAATGACTTATCATATGCTGTCATGGTGACTAATTAGAATTGAAAAGAAGTGCTTTCATAGTGACAGGTCCACATTTCAGTTTCACAGAACTATAATGATTGAAATATATTGCTAGTGGTGAAAAAAAATTTAATATATACATTGGTAGTAAAGAATATTATTTTTCTATGGCTATAACACAAAATTGCTCTTGTTTTACTGTTATCTGTTACAGCCGTAGACAAATTATAGTGTATAATTCGCACGGAATGCTAATTTCCCACCCGAATGATTCATTCTCGTGGGAAATCACTATCATTTCGTGCTCGTTAAACAATATACTATTTTCTACGGCTATAACACAAGATTGCTCTTGTTTTACTGTGTTCCATACATCAATGAGGTACTTTGTATGTCATCAATTTTATTTCCGTATACAGTCTGTCCAAGATAAGGTTGAACAGCATGGGGATCTCGAAAACGGTAAGAGATACGAAATCGGTTAAATGGGGAAAAAGTTGCGCATTCGGAGGCTCATATCAAGAGCCTTCGAAAATTTTGAAAATTATTTTTAGTTTTTGAGTTATATCGAAAAAAGTGAATTTTTGGAATTTCTATTTTATTTTTTTTCTCCGTTATTATTAGAGATACAGCAAAACTGAGAATACTTTTTCATAGCAACTTTTGATGACGGTCAACGTGGTGATACCGATTTTTTCATGCGACGTCTCGTATTCGTGGAACCATCATCAACTTTTGTTTTTTAAATACGGTCCTGATAATTTTGTCACAGATTCTAAAAAGGTTTTTTTATTCTGAATTCAACCATGTATTATACAAGGTGGTTCATTTGTATTTCGACCTATTTTTGGCCATCATCAATGTTTTTTCGAAACTCCAAAGGAAAAATGCCATCAGTTCCACTTATTTTGAAGGAAATGTAGTCAACACACTAATACCTCATCAACTGGTTTCAATCAACAACCCATTTCATTTTGCGGAAACAAAAATTCCATCCATACAAATTCAGAATATGTCAAGCGCTAAAACCAGAAGATGACGAAAGGCGCAAGACATCCTGTGAGTGGTATACCAGGAAATGTTAAAATTTTGCAGATTTCTTTCGAACAATCATCTGGACTGATGAAAGCATGGTCACTAATCATGGTAGCTTCGATAGAAAAAATACACATTATTGTTCACGAGAAAATGAACATTTATACATTACAGCGAGACACCAACACCGTTTCGGCTTTAATATGTGGGTTGCAATATTTGGTACACGAATTATTGTTCCTTCTATTTACCATGAAACACAGACTTCCGAACGTTATAGAAATTCGCTTGAGAATCATCTTGAGGAAGCTCTGGATGATTTACCGATTGCGGAAGTTCAGAACTCTGTTGGTTTCAACAAGATGGCGCTCCGGTACATAATTCCAGAGAAGTCCGTGCGTTTTTATCCCTTGGCCGGCGCGGTCGCCTGATTTAACACAGCTGGATTTTTTCTTAGGGGATATATCGAACTTTGTACACGCAAATAAATTTGAGGATGAAGAAGAACTAAGGGACAGTGTCTTCGAAGCATTCAATAGAATAACCCCAGAAATGCTTAGCAATGTCTTAGAAACAACTGTGAGAAGAGGATATCTTTGTTCAGAAAATAATGGTTATCATTTTGAACATTTGTTATGAATGTCTCTGTAGGTATTGTCAAAGTTAAGTTGTTAAAGTAATTCGTGTAAGAATTCATCAACAATTTTAAACGCTGCATTGATCGAATGATGTAGTGAAATATTTTTTATTCACTTTTCAGTATTGAATAACTAATCCATCAAGTTTGACACTAAATGACAAGAAATAAGTGGAACTGATGGCTTTTTTCCTTTTGGAAGTTCGAAAAAACATTGATGATGGATAGAAATAGGTCGAAACACATTCGAATCACCTTGTATAGTACATTGTTGAATTCAGAATAAAAAAACCTTTCAGAATCTGTGGAAAAATTAGCAGGACCGTATTTAAAAAACAAAAGTTGATGATGGTTCCACGAATACGAAACGTCGCATAAAAAAATCGGTATCACCACGTTAAACCTCATCAAAAGTTGCAATGAAAAAGTATTTTAAGTTTTTCTGTATCTCTGATAATAACGGAGAAAAAAAATAAAATAGAAATTCCAAAAATTCACTTTTTTCCATATAACTCAAAAACTAAAAATAATTTTCAAAATTTTCGAAGGCTCTTGATATGAGCCTCCGAATGCGCAACTTTTTCCCCATTTAAGCGACTTCGTATCTCCTACCGTTTCCGAGATCCCCATGCTGTTCAACCTTATCTTGGACAGACTGTTTATCACAATGACTCCATTGTGTTATTATTTTAAAAAAAAACTCATCGCCCATGGAATGTCAAATCTCAAGCAATGACAGTTCTGTCTAATAGATGAGCATTACTTGACAGGAACTCAGATGGCTACAAGACCAAGAAATCTAGAATGCCGCTATTATTGCTTCCGTCCTAATATAAGCTAGCTCCTAGACTTTTTTCCATATAAAGATAATGACAAAATAGATTCTTCAGTTTTGAAAAGGAAGCAATACATTCAGAATTCGCATTCTCAATGTGATGAGAATATCAACTCCTTTTCAGTTTATTCAACAGAAAACAACAACTTTCCTGGCTATATGAGAGTTTGAAAATGAAATATAAAATCTTCTGAAATTGAGAATTTGCATTCTCCTACACAGACAAAAATATGTATATGCACACATCATTCTGAATATTCAACAAATAACAACTACTTTCCTGGCTATTTGCCACGTCGAACATTGAATTATATCTGATGAACATCCAAAAAGGAGAGCATGAGAAATAAAAAATAAAATTCTCCGAAATTGAGAATTGACATTCTTTCTCAAATCGGATGAATAATATGATGTATAGGGATATAAAAATATAACTTACCAATATATTCAGCATTGAAATGAAAATTGGAATGTATAGGAGAAGTATACTGGCATGAACTCTGATCTTGATGAGCTTGAAAACTTCCAAAAATAATCATTCATATCAGTGATATGGGAAATATTATCTTTCACACACAGGTTATATGACTTTATTGCAATGAACTCATCAGTTTAATGATTTGAACATCCATCTAATTGATTAGGGTGAAGTATCTTACATCCGTGTGAAAGAAGACAAGGGAGGCAGCGAGAGAAGATCCGGCGGCAGATCGAGAAGTCGTTCTTTCTCACCGAGAAGACGAGGTTCGCCGACGTACAGTCCAGTAAAAAGGAGTTTCTCTAGAAGCCGATCACGTTCATAATTTCGGTCTGTTCATTCTCGAACTGGATATTATGTACGTATATATTACTACCCTCAATATGTTTTGAGTTTGAATCTAATTTAGATTTTGTGTTTTCATTGGAAGATATCATCTTCTTTATATTAAGTAGTTGTTGTTTGACTGATTTCCAAACTGATTCACATTTTATAATGAGTAGTGTTTGTGTGTTGTACATTCCTTTTATCTCTTGATTGAAGTCAAACCAAAAGTGTGTCAAGAATGAAAGTTATTATTCCTTTGAAATAACATTTTAAAAAATTAATGACACTCAAAATAGTATCTGACATAGTAACTGGGTGAGCCATAAGAACGAGAGGAAATTGAGAGGTGATTTAGGAATATAAATGGCAACATAAGGGCGGGAATTTGATTGTACCGTTGCCGTGTACAGACGATCTGATAGACCAATCAATTGTGTGGTATGCATTCGTGATATTTTCAGCTGAAATTATGTGTTGTAGTTTTCACAGGTACTGTGGTACAGGATCAACTCCAGCTACCACATTCATCGTTTATTTATGACGTTTTCGGCTCAAGTAAAATTTACCATCATATTATCAATGGTAGATTCTGATCGTTAACAAAAAAAAATGTTGGATAATATCACTATCTGTTCAAACCCCCACGAGTACAAACATGCTGTTTTGTTACAGACATCAAAACCATTTTCATATCATTCCAATGTGTTTTGTTGTGAACTATGAGCCATTGTGGTGTTGAATTTGATCAAAATTACAGCATGATTCGGACAGGAAGTGTCATCCCGCCATCAGATATCGATCTTCATGACGTCAGTTATTGATATTGCTACTCCAACATCGCCAGAACTCGGCCAAATTAGGCTAAAAAATTGCAGTCGTAAATTATATTCAAGTTGTTTGAAAAATATCCCGAGTGGTAAGCACTAGTTGGTATATTTTTCGGGATAGTCATTGTTATGTGTGGTAAAACTGGTAAACATAATCTTTTGAATGAGACTAGAGAATTTTTTAAAAATAATTGAATTGAGAGCATTAGTGGGTACCTTAATACCATATAGATATTTGGTATGCTTACCAAGGTGATCTGACCAAATTCAGACCAAATTCTTACGTATTTTGAGTTGACTAATATTACCAACTTCGTTTTGATTTGATTATGATTTTGAGGTTAGGTTGTGGAACTCCACTTGAATATGCAAATAATGAATAATAGGTACCTTTCAGCAAGATTCAAAATGAGCTGAAATTGAATGAAATACTGTTTTGAAGAATCATAACAACATATTAAATTCCGGTACCAAACCAAACTGGTAGCTGGTAACTTTACTAAGTGTACAGTTCACACTGACCAAGTTGAAATTTGAAGTTTGGTTAAAATATAGATATTATTCAGCTAACCAAGGCACTGTATAAATGTGGCCAGTGTGAAGATTCATCCGTTCTGATGGCTCACCCTGTGCTATTTGAGGAAGCTTTTGAAATTAATTCAACTCCTAATTGATAATGATAAAAAGTTTTGTTTCATCTTGGCACAGTGAAGGTTTTATATACTATAAAAAATGATGTAACAATTCGTTATTATGAACATTATCCTTCAAATGAAAATACTAAAGTATAGGCACTAATGTATTTTTTTTTCTGATTTTGGTACTTTTGCCGAGGCTGTGTATCAGCGTTGGACAATTTGGAAATAAAAAAACAATGATATGGCTTATATTCAATTGCACCCGTACAAGAGGAGTGAATGATGTTTTTGGAAACTTGGAGGGATTTCGAGAGATTGAGGAAAGGATCTGAGGGATTTTCAAAATAATCATTTTCGGAGGGACACATAGCTTTTCACTAGTGGATACTGGATTATATTCATAGGACACTAAAGGATGCGAGTCGATAAAATAATCAGGAAATAAGGGATTTTCTAATAGAGGGACGGATAGCTTTTCACTCTTGGAAAAATTTCATAGGAGACCGACGATGAGTCCATGTAAAATAGGAAAAGAAGGAAGCATCTTTAGCAGCATTTGAAAGGTCAATATAAATAATTGTATGGTTCATAATTGAATCACGATATTTCAAGTGGAATGGCGTCAGCTGATATATACTAAAAAGAGTCTTGTCATTTATGAACGGTCTTCTCATGAACTATACAATTATGTATGATTGACAAACTGCAAAAACGGGAGAAGAGGATATTTATATGCTTTGGAAGGAATTTTCATGCATTGGATTTTTGAGATATTCGATACAGGAAAAGGAAAATTGGTAAATAGAACTTTTTACATTTCCATGTTAACAGATACATTGTGTTTTTGTTTCCACTAGCCTAGTTTTGCAAACAAATTCGAAAGATTGCTGAAAAATCATTGTCCAGTCATCAATGTGGAAGCAATATTTGGCTTTTTTTTTTCTGAATATATTTCTCAAATTGGGCAAGGTTGGTAGAATTGATTATTATTTGTAGAGGAAGGTTGCCTCGATCAGAAAACGCGGTGAGGGGAAGTGGTAATTCGTGACGTAATTCCATCCAAAATGTCATGTTGGGATCACAGAAATATATGTATAATCTGTGATCACAGCTGGGTAGGTAAATCTACTTGAAGACAGTTGTAGAATGTAGATCATGCCTATGACTCAGAAATGGAATTACGTCACGAACTACCACTTCCCCCACCACGTTTTGCTGATCGTGGCAACCTTCGTTCACAAATAATCATCAATTCTATTCTTGAAATTGGGTACTGAAATGACGAAATATATATACATACAGACAGTATATAATCAAGATTGAGTTTTTGCACTAATAATTTGATTTTCTCTTTTGATGGGGTTTTATTGAGATAATGCAAATTGGTAATCAATTTTGTCTTGGATATCTTGACCTGAACAATTTTCTCTTATTTTCATTTTGACTCAATTCTGACAAACAATAGATTCATTTTATTTTTCAACGCCATGGTAATGTAGAATCTGCTAATCTGGTTATAAACAAGATAATATTTCAAGTATTTTTTTCTTTGTTAATATAGGAACATTCTGAATCAATTATGTGGACTAATTATTCATGAATCAGTGTTAACTATTAAATCAAAAATATATCGCTCAACTAAAATAGAAATAATGATTTTCTTGAATTGAAAAAAATAATTTTGAAATGACATGTTTATTGTAGCGCTATCATGAATAGAAAGTCTGCATTTACGCACTTGATGTAAGTATTCACTGGAGTTTAATAATTTTTCTTTGCAATATGGTAGGTCTCACATAAGTACATACTTGGAGACATAAAGGAGGATGGAAATTCCTAGGAGAAAGATAGGATATTTCAAGTTTCTTAAGGACTTCGAGGGAATATTCCTCAGATTTTTCCTAGGATTTTCAAGTGGACATTCTAATTTATTAAGGATCTTCGGATTGGAAATTACGACTTTTCTACAGGTGCATTTCAAATTCGGTCTGGAACATAAGGAATCCAGGTATTTCTTGAATTTCATGAACCATTTCAAATAGTGTCCTCCGATGCAAGAAGGCTGCATTAAAGATCAGATGATGTAGATATTCATGATACAAGACAAGTATTCAAAGATTCATATTACAATATGAGATAAGACATTTTTAAAACGAGGCCGTTCAACTAATCTGATATTTTAATATGAATTTAACTCACCATACATTAATAGCTCAATATTTTACCTACTACCAATGAAATGAATGTATTTTTTTTTTGTTTTTTTAGCAAGTATTCTTTCCTATTCGATTGTGAAATCTAAAATGAATTCTTCAAAATATTTTGATTCTTTTTGATTGAAAAAACTAAAAGGTCATCAACTATTTTACACTTTGCTGTACTAGTACGGTAATAATATTTATGAAGTGTTGTAACGTTTGGCATATATTGGTAGTAGGTAGGACACTTCAAAAATGGTTTGAAGTGAGCATTTTTGTTAGGAGGGCAGTATTTTGTCAAGGCTATTTTTATTTTGAGTGTACATGATTGCATGCTTTGAAATAAAGGATCTATTGAAAAAGTAGTATTTTATTAAATCATATAAATAATAAAACCTGATACAATAAATTGATGTGTAGATATAAAATCATTAGTGTTCTAGTTGAAATCACCAAATTTTTCAATGACAATTTCAATTCAGATATACAAAATTCCATGAGCCACATTGATACAAAACGGAACCTAACATTGGAAACCATGACAACCCGAATTATTGTGAACGCATCTTGATGGCATTTATGACAATTTTTCTCAATATTGCGTCGTCAAAAAAAGTTTCTAATCTGTGGAATGTAGTGATTTGGAGAGTGCGAGTGGAAAAATTGGAAAAACCATCAACAATAGTATGATTTACATATTCATTAAACTGTCTTACCGAATTACACTTGAGCATTTGTTTCGATTTTGTAGCCTCTAGGAAATTTAACTCAAAAAACTGTCACAGACAAAATTACTTGTCCTACGGAATACAGACTCACCAGGCAACAAAATTCTCATTCAAATATCAAGTTTACTTCAACAAAAAGAAGCTCTTGTGTAATGAAAGAAAAAATATGACATTACAGAAGGACTATAACACGAGTTAGTTTTTAGTTTAGGTCATTGATATTCTCTTCAGTTCTAAGCACATACAGTGCGCTGAGTCTTCATCAAGTAATGGAAACTTCAAACATTCAAGGAATAACCACTGAACCCCCCTGAAACACCCTATGTGTATATTGAAAAAATTTCTGACAAAAATAGAATTTGACGGTTGCCCAAAAGTTATTCCTTGTTTAATTTGAAAATAGCAATTGACCATAATTTCAAGAGCATCAAGGGTGATTAGGCAATCCAATGATGTCAAGCTATGCGCTGGTTGGCACACAATGAAATTATCGATGGTTAATGACATTTTGAATTGACTCGGCCGTTACATAATGGAAATCCATGGCGAATGTATAAACTTCACAAACGATAAGATTTACACAAAATTCTCAATCACATGATATGTTTCGCTAATACTAGCTTCATCAGGTGAAATACTGGTAAAATGAACTTAAAAGTAACCTTGGCTTTTATATATCCTACTTTCCCAATCCGAAGGATTAGAATTACCTGTGGACAGGTTTGATAAACATTCATTTTCGGAAAATAGGCACAATATCTACATTGAAATACGGTGTACCGGATTAACCTGAAAGGGTTGATAGCAGATACATGTTGTTAAAACGTATTTCATTTACACATTGTATATTTTGATTTGCAGCAACATATCTTGATTTCGCCGAAGTTTGTAAAAAAAAACATACTCGATATGTTGCTATTGATGTTGAATGTCATTATAATTTTTTGATTGTCAGAAAAAAGTCATATTCTAATTCCGACTTCGTCTCATGAATCATTCAAACTATCAGCGTACAGGGTGATTGACTATGGATTTCTCGACTTCAACAGCTGATATCTCGAAAACAAAAAAAGATATTTGAAATTTGGAAAAAGTTACTTGAATGAGATGTCATTTCCTTCTGGAAAATGTGTTCTCTGCTTGATTTTATCATTTCATATACAGGGTATGTGAAAAAAAATTTTTTTTTTCAAATGGAACCCCCTGTATATTATCGCATATTTCGAAAGAGCTATCTTTCCTGATTTTGAAAATATATACTTTCCATATATTCTATCGAGTGCTTGACGAAATATCAGCAAAATTAAATAGCAATATTTGGTCCAAGTTAGCTATACAGGGTGTCCCTAGACCAGTGGGACAGTTGAATATCTCCTGAACCAATAGAAATTTTCAGAAAATGACTATATTTTATACGAGGTGCGCAAGAAAGGTTCACATGATCGAACATCATTTTTTTCAAATGGAACACCCTGCGTTTCATTGCATTTTCATATTCTCCTTAAAGAGCTGGATTCACTGACCTAGCACACTTGGGGTCTAGCGGGAATGATTTCCGAGATATAGGGTGTGGAAAATCGCGATTTTCAATTTTTGGGAATTTTTTGTGTCGAAACTATTCATTATTGGTCAAAACGGCTCACATGTCCATATCTTAACTTTTGATTTACTATTTACTCGTATTCAATTGAAACAAATACAGGGTGGTGTAGAATTCTGACTGAAACTGTTAATTCGACACCACCCTGTATTTGTTTCAATTAAATACTAGTAAATAGTAAATCAAAAGTTAAAATATGGACATGTGAGCCGTTTTGACCAATAATGAATAGTTTCGACACAAAAAAATCCCAAAAATGAAAAATCGCGATTTTCCACACCCTATATCTCGGAAATCATTCTTGCTAGACCCCAAGTGTGCTAGGTCGTTGAACTCAGCTCTTCAAGGAGAATATGAAAATGCAATGGAATACAGGGTGTTCCATTGAAAAAATTGATGTTCGATTTTGTGAGCCTTTCTTGTGCCCTTCGTATAAAATATAGTCATTCCTGAAGTTAGCATTCATAATGCGATATGATGTGAAATTATAATATTCTGAAAATTCCTATTGGTTCAGAAGATATTTAACTGTCCCACTGGTCTAGGGACACCCTGTATATGGTTGAAATGGAATGAGATGATAAATAAGTGAATTGACAATTGGTCAACATTTCAGTGCGCAAAATTTCGACAATTTTTTCACGATGCCATATCCACTGGAATAAAGAAGAGATATTTTGGAGTGCTATTTTTCAGTTAAAAAAAACTTGCTGAAACACTTCATAAGTTTATGAGGAGTTATCCAGGCAGGAGATAACCAAGTAAGAATTATGTAAAGTATTTGGCTACTAAATTTGACAGAACTTCCAGTTTGTCGAATATCAAGAGAATAGTGAGAAGGCAAGACAACGAAGACGAGCAACTTCTTGTAATCCAGTATTTTGTTGAGGATCCTTCACGGTCAATATGAAATGCAGTGTGAGAGTGGTTTCAGCTATCATTTTGTTCAACATACCTTGAGGAAATATAATTATAGGGATTTCAGAATTAGACCATGCCACAAACTCAATTATGATGATAATGAGAAGCGGATTGAATTTTGTCTTGTCATATCTGAAAGATTAAATTTAAGTAATTATAAGTGTAAGTGTTTCAGCAAGATTTTTATTAACTGAAAAATAGCACTCCAAAATATCTCTTCTTTGTTCCAGTGGATATGTATAATGTTTCATAAGTAATTATAAGTGTAAGTGTTTCAGCAAGATTTTTATTAACTGAAAAATAGCACTCCAAAATATCTCTTCTTTGTTCCAGTGGATATGGCATCGTAAGAAAATTGTCGAAATTTTGCGCACTTATGTCACTGGAATGTTGGCCAACTGTCAATTCACTTATTCATCATCTCATTCTATTTCAACCATAGCTAAGTTGGACCAAATATTAATATTTAATTTTGCTGATATTTCGTCAAGCCCTCAATAAAACATATGAAAAGTATATATCTTCGAAATCAGGAAAGATAGCTCTTTCGAAATATGCAATAATATACAGGGGGTTCCATTTGAAAAAAAAATGTTTTTCACGAACCCTGTATATGAAATGATAAAATCAAGCAGAGAACACTTTTTCTAGAAGGAAATGACGTCTCATACAAATAACTCTTTCCAAATTCCAAATATCTTTTTTCGTTTTCGAGATATTAGCTGTTGAAGTCGTGAAATCCATAGTCAATCACCCTGTACAATTCAAATACAGTCCACTCTATCGATTCTGCTTCATGGTCCTTCGAGCAGTTACGCGATTATGTCCACTCCCATTACCAGAAACGGATACGGACAGTGATGGCATTGTTGATCCTGATGCCGATCTAGCTGTTTCTAGCAGCTAACTATCTGATGTTTTGAACAATTATACTGATAATTGTTCACATGTATCTTCATTGTACCAGTATTTCACCTGTGTTAGCGAAACATGTCGTGTGTTTGAGTATTTTGTGGAAATCTTATTGTTTGTGATGTTTTTACATTAGTTACTGAAATGTTTTTATACGCGAATTTCTGTTGGTATCAGAGTGAAAGTCTATGAAAGTCACACAACAAATAAATTTATTTGCTCCAGTTGGATTGCCTATTTTTGTCAGGAACTGCTGCCAACAAATGTCTAACCCTTTCAATGTGAAATGTCCTGAAATTCGCATTTACTAGGAGAGTTCATACTATCTGTCAATAATACATGAAATAATTTCAATTCAAGAGCAGTTGCTGTGACAATACGTCAAAACAAAAGTGGCAAATACAATAGAACTTAAAATCGTACATTTAATCGTTTTTTTTGCCGGCGAGTGTAGTTTACACTTCCTTGTGAAACGAATTTCCGGACACCCTGTATATACAAAATACACTAAAGTATGCTTAGTCTGAAATAAAAACAGCTCTTATACAATTGGATTAAAAAACTACTAGCGATTTCACAACAACAAGGTTGTGGTTGTCAATGACTAGAAAAAGTTTGGAGTGAAACAGTAAAAATTAATATTCCTCAGGCAATACCACTAAACTGTGGAAATACAATCTGAAGCACCAGGTATATTATGTAAGAAAAGACTGGTAAGAAAAATACAATCCCAACGAATAAGAATTTCAACGTCAACCAATATATAACCTAACAATATCCAATGGCTTGGCAGGTAGATTTGTTACAGGGCATCTCTGATTTTCATTTAAGAACCTCAAAATACAACGAAAACAAAAAATGTACCTAAAAAAAAATACAAGATATATCTCCAAGCAACTTATATACTTCTAAAAGTGTTTGAAAAGTCGGGGTCGGTTGCATAAAGAAAAATTAATCATACAATCTACTGATGCCACAATAACTTTGATGTTATGTTAAATGTCATTTGCGTTGCATAAACAATCTGATGTTATAATAATCATTCCATTTACTAATGACAAGAAGGGCGTGGCAACAGCGCTAAATCTGTCTGCTCCATGCGTTCCGCGCATTGTTGATACGCATTTTAGGTTAGGTTTATTAGCTTGATTAACATTCAGATTGGCAGAAGTTACAGAAAACCTGAATCGGGTATTGAAATCATTGAAAGGTTCTTGACTTGAAAATCAGTAGTTCTTCTTCAGATAGTGAAGACAGTGATGAGATAGACATTTTCTGTCAAACCTATAGTAGTCATTCACTTACATTATTGTGTTCATTTACCTACTCTACCTTTTTGAAATGAAACAAGAACTAAGAAGAAGAAAAATTCTGCGGAATATTTCAAATAATTTGGCGGGACTCTCACAAGTCATTTGCTGTTTGCTGGTTGTCACTTTAATCAGTGGTCGAGCAGTGATTGAGTTGATGCCATGAATAAGTCGATTTGATGTGACATCTAAAGTTGATTGGCCTTTGTGCAACCGATTTTTTAGTTGAATAGTCATTATTATAAGTTAATCAGATGATTAAGTAACCATGTCTTAAGTACATGATGGGCCTTTCATGCAATCGAAATCCATTTATAACGTCGCATCAAATATTTGAAGTGACATCAAATAATTGATGAGCTTTTATGCAACCGGCCCTAAGAGTTGGCTTTAAAATTTGATTTTTTTTATATTGGAAATGGATGGGAAATGCAGTAAACTTTTTCCATCACTGAAACATGATATGGCATTTTTACAAGGCAGTTTTAATGGAACGGATAAATTTTTGATAATACTAATATTTCCTACAATAATGTATGTCATTCATTGATTCATTTCATCGAAACTGCCTTAGAAACGGATAATGTATTGCTACATCTTCTACAAGGATGACTGATTAAGCATTAACCAAAAATAAATCTACATGATAGAAAAGGGAGAGAGATAAAATCATCATTAGGGGTATACCCCAAAAGGCCATTGAACGATTTTTTTATTTATTTTCACAAAGAACTGATAAAGGGAAAAGGACACACGTATACAGGCTGATTCACGGTAAATGGTACATTAGACGTTTCCAGAGAACGCAACGTAGGATTGTCTTGAAAATTTGGTTCCTTGGATAATTAGTTGTGTTCTATCGACCAAAAATATTTTCAGCGCTGCGACGTTGTCACTTATATAGAAAAGTAGCAACAACTTTGATATTTTTAATGGGACACCCTATATATCATTCCGTTTTCAGATTCTCCCTGAAGAGCTGATTTCATCGATCTATCACACTTGGGGTCTAGCGGGAATGATAATAATGATACAGGGTGGTCAAAAATCTCAATTCTGAACCACCCTGTAGTTGATTTAATTCGCGATAGAAAATAAGCGTACGACACCTATCGGAGTTCTTGAAAGCTGTCAAAGCGGCATGTTTACTTTGTTTTCATTGGTTCACATTTGTTTTTTGTTTGTGCTAATTGGTCATATCATCAAGACAAACCGCTCAGAAGTGTTCAAGTTGCTGCCGTCAGGTGGGGCGACGTGTTATTTTCTATCGCGAATCGAATAAAAATTGATAGTACGTGAAAAGTTGAAATAGGGATATGAAAACCGTTTTGACCAATTACGAATAGTTTTTCCCAACGTTGAAAAATCTCGATTTTTCACATCCTATAACTGTAATTATTACTGCTAGACTCCAAGTGTTATGAGTCAATGTTATCAACTCTTCAGGAAGAATCTGAAAATGGAATAATATACAGGGTGTCTCATTTAAAGAAATCAAAGTTGTTGCTACTTTTCAATATAAGCGGCAATGTCGCAATGCTGAGAATATTTTAGGATAAAGCACAACTAATTATTCAAGGCACCAACTTTTCAGAATAATCCTGAGTTGCGTTCTCCGAAAACGTCTAATGCACCATTCACCTTCCTCAACGAAAAAAGTTATGGCCATTCCAAATCAAGTGCATTGGTAAGCGCCCTCTAATGGCTCCAGGCTAATTTTTGAAGTAAATCGGTGACAGATTTTCACAAATTTTGAAAAATCCGAACCTTATTTTCGAACTTTACCACCCTGTATCTCGGAAACGGAGCAACTTCGGACTAAGGTGAGTTGCTTCAAATCGGCTTATTTTTATCTTAGGAATATGTGCTAAGATTTTGTAGAGACCTTTTAGGGACACCCTGTATGAAAATGAAAATTCATAAAACAAACATATCTATGAAAGTGGAACCAAATCAAAAAGAAAAATGTCTGCACGTCGCCAAATGGCCATTGACTGATTTGTTTCATTTTCACGAAGATCGAATAAAGGGAAAGTAAAATCAAATAGGAAAATTAATTCACGTCGCCTTCAAGTACATGCTTTTGTCAAGTTTACTTAGCCGACATATGGGTTGCATGCAAGAACTGTTAGATGACCGACACTGGAGGCAAAATATTGAAACACAAACGTCACTTTACTCATTTGTTTACAAGTGATTGAAATAGTTTTTCACAATTATTTTGGCATACGAATCGTATTTTTCCGCTATTCATCAATTCGCTCATGCCATCACATTATGCTGTTGTGAAATGCACAAAAACTGCAGCGGAAGACGAAGTAATCCGGTTGGTACAATATGATTCAAAAGTAAGTACCTACTATAGTCACTCACATATAGTTTTCATTTTTGAAATTTGGTAATTTCCTGATTTCTCATCGGAATTCTTTCTGCGATAGAAGCTAATAGAAATACATCTGAAATTTCTAAAATAATGCCTGAAAATTGGATTCATGCAATCAATCGGGAGGACTAGTCTGACATGCTGACGATCGTGTGTGTGTAGACATTTTCAATCTATTAGCAGTATTAGCTTGTATTGCAGAAGTGACAGAAGGCAGAAGGAATTTTAATAAGGAATGACAACATTTTATAATGATAACTATGTGAGATTACTATTTACCTGAAAAATCATATTCTTTAGTCTCTTGCTGCATTTTTTGTGCATTGTACAACAGCACAATGCGAAGGCATGCTCGAATTAATGAATAGCGCAAAAAACACGATTCGTATGCCAAAATATTAGGTATTTCGGAATGCTGTCAAAATCAGATTCAAGATGGTTGCTGTACCCAAACAAATAGCTGTCATTCCGTGACTTTTTTAACCATATTTTCAATTGAATTTAAAATGTGTTAAATGCTGCTTTCTTCGCTTCTTTTGTTGATAATTGAACTTTATATACTTAGTTTTATTAGAATTGCATCATCTTCATGAAAATTATTGAATAGTTGATGTGTATTCCTGTGGTGTATTCTGGACACTATTTGGATAGGTTTTGCTTGGTGTTTATGTTATAACAATGTTTTATTGTGGAATAATCAATTGCAAGAGTCGGTAATATCGTGATAGCATGAAGTTTCATCGAATCCTGGAGTGTCTTGAAATTTAGACATAAATTGGAACAATGAATTATCAAAGAAGAGACAAGTGGATAAATAGAAATGGTTTGATGGAGCAGAAACTCAAAATGTTGAGAGTTTGCAGCAAACATTTCCTACCTACTTGGTGAGTTCACTGAAACAGGTAATGAATAGTAGTAAATATAATAGGTATAATGGAAATTTTAGGGAACCTGCATATCTATCAGATGTTAATAATCCTAACTGGGCTCCCAGTTTATTTTTGGGATATGATAGCTTAGCTTCTGACAACCAATCTAAGGAAACTATCAATGACATCAGAATTCCAAGGTGTGAGGCTGCAGGACCATCTGATTTCAAACAGGCTGCAGGGCCATCTAATGAACAGACTGTAGGATCATCAGATTTTCAAGATGAGAACCTTAGTATAGTTCCTGCTGAATGTGATAAATATTCACAAACAAATATCACAGCTGTCGGCCTAGTGCTGATCTAATTATAATTTGATAGGAATCACCCCACAAGAAACAGTGTGTTTGATCAGTGAGGCTTGTGGAGAAAGAGCATCTGATTATCCCATAACAATCAATTCAAAATTAATAGATAATATTATTCCAGGTGAGTTTCTGTACAAGATCAATTGAATGTAATTGATACCAATCTTTATTAAATCCAGAATTACTGAAAGAGAATAAACTTTTTAAATTAGTTTTATTGACTAGAAGCTAGAAATCTTTTATATGTATGGAAAAACTAATTTTATTAAACAGCATGCACTGTTGAAAATGTTCCACTTGTCTTGACTTTCAATCTATTTATGTATGTCTACTGTTCTAACAATCTTCCTGAACTCATCTGAATTTCAAACAGTATTGTTCTTTTATTGTTGTTCTATCCAACTTTCAATTAATACAAATTCAATTTGTAGGTGATTTGATTTTAGGTGACCATGGCTTTTTGGTTGGTGACTATGTACAAATTTTGAATGCCCAAGTGAAGATTCAAGCTTTTACAAAAGGAAAGAAACAATTACATCCTACTGAGATTGTGGGAACTACAATGTGAGAATTCATGTGGAGTGAATTATTGGTGCAATGAAACAGAAGTACAGGATATTAGCTGATCAACATGGCAATTTCACTTATAATATGGTGATGATCCAACTCTCCACAAAATCATTACAATTTGCTGTGCAAATATCAACATATGTCCCCCAATTGTTCAATTGGACTGAATATATTATGTTCTTGATTGATGAAGATATATAGTAATAGAGTTGTTATGCAATATAGACAAATCTTTGATAAGTAGGAACAAAATATATACAGCATATCTCACTTTGAAAGCCCCTTCCTCTATATCCCTCAACTGGTCCCTCAATATCTTGATTTTTATGAAATCATATTAGTAATATTTTGGCATAAAAACTAAC